ACAAACAGTGAGAGTGCACCATTGTAATTTTGTGGCATCAATACACTTGAATCACTCCCAGACAGTTTTATCCCCTCAAGGAGCAGAAACAGAAGCAAACAATCATAGGAGATCAAAGTGAAGAGTAATGAAAGACAAGAGTTTGCCTGGCAAATATACAATGTGACAGCCCTCTTAGTCACATCTGCATGTGAAAGGTAATGCTGACAAATGATTTTTGTCTCAATAAAGGATTGACGACTCCTCTCACATCCCATTAATTATGATCAGCCGACACTGTGGCAAAAGTCATTTTACTGTTAGTCAATAAGCGCTCTGTGTCACTGGCATTACTGAGATAAATACAGCTGCTGGGAGGGAGGGGGTATAGTAGGATACATAAACAGGATGCATTCAAAATATTTAGTGGTGTTAAGTGAAGGATGTGGATATACATTGAACAGTTTCCAGGCCTTCAGCGCGACATGGGGCCCCCTAACAGTGTAGCTGACGCTGTAGACTTTAAGTAGACTGTAAAAAAAAGAGACTAATGGCAAGAACATCCCTGAACGACCGACACTGGCTACAGCGAAGAGCTAGCAAAGCAGCACAAAAGAGGAATCCTATTATTATTTCATCAGTTTCACACATTACATACACATTTTCAGTTCACAACACTCATTAAATACATTTCCCTACATTGAAAAAAGAAAAAAAAAAGTAGACTGTAGCGGGCAGATGCATGGCACTTATAAGAAGTTCAAATCAATTGATGCTTTTCCATTGTTTTGGTTTCAATACAAATTTAAACATGTTTGGCAAGACAAGCACAACCAAACCTACATCCATTTTGGTCGCAGTAGTAAGTAGTAGCTGGAACCTAGCCCAGCTGTCATGGGTACACCCTGGACAGATTGCCAGTCTATCACAGGGCTAACATAGACACAGGATGCCATCCACACCTATGACCAACTTAGAAATGCCAGTTAAGCTAACATGTATGTTTCTGACTGTGGGGGAACCTGGAGAACATGCGGACTCCACCCCGTCACATATTCAGAGCCTGGTGTTCATATGTTGACAGGGACTGGAAAAATTAATCTTACGAAACAATCTTTTCAAGCAACTGAACCAAAACCTCCAAGTAAGCACATTTTTTTGCTGTTTGTGCTGTCTGGAGCTCATAAACTCGCTGATGTATCACACAGATACACAAACACCTACACACAAGACTCTTATTACATTCAGAGCTGGAAGTGACCCACAGCGCTCGCCTTGTTCTGTCAGTCACTGTGAGGTCGGCTTTCCCTGCCAAACAGCAGCTTGCACATCACTTTCCCTGCAACCCTCCTGGTATCAGCAGACTGAAGCCAGTGGCCAGCAACTTCCTGACGCTGACGCTGTTGGTGTTCCATATCGCTCTGACTCATTAGAACCGTGCAGATTTCCCATGACATTTGTGTAACAGCTGAGCTGAGTGTCTTCTAAGTCCGGTTTACTGTGCTTTTAGGCAGTAAATGCTTCTGAAATGAAATAATATTGGGTTTACGTGTACACACTCCACACAATGGCTCACGGTGGCAGTTGTATAAATGTTTTGGTTCATGATTTTGCTTGAACAGATTGTTATTCAGGATGTCAATTTCAAGTTCAGTTGGAGGGGGGCACCTAATTACGCACAGAGATTATCTTTCTTATTTTTAATGTCTTTAAACAAAAAAAAAACATCATTAAGTGACACCTTGCTGTAAAGAAAACAAGAGCGACTGCATGCTTCATACCTACAACTTGATGGCAACACCGCACCCCCTGCTGAGTACACATGAATGTCTGCCAATAATAACACATGAGGGTGCCAAAAAAACCAAAACAAAATAAAAATCACATGCACTTTATGTACCACCCTGTTTTCACTCCAGATTGAACTGGACCACCCTGGTGCTTAAGTCTACTAACACTTCAAGTGTTCCCCATCAAATCATTGCAGGTACTCTGTAATAAGACGGCTTCCATTTCCCTTTGGGGAGCGATGTCTTTTTTATGACATGGAAACTAAACGCGTTACATCGTTGGAAAAGCCGTTTCGCGAATCTGGGTGGAAGAAAGGGGGAAATACCGCCAAATGAGAGTTTGTTTAGTTAGCATGACAAAATTCCTTCCACTTCCTGAAATGAAAATAGCCACGTCTGTAAAAGTTCATTTGAACCACAACGTTGATAATGAAGCATTAAAAAAAAAGATCTTTGTACACAAATACATAAACTGAAGAGAGTCACAGTGTGACAGAAAGAAAAAAGTAATTAAAACTGTTTTTAAAACAGGGTAAAGGTCTTTGGCAGAGGGAAATACATATGAAGATGGAAAATGTTGTAAATCGATCCATTAAAAAATAAAGTGCAGAAGCATATGGGGAGCTGGATGGAGCACAGGAAAAACTCTGAGTCGGTGTAGGTAGCAGATTTACAGGGTGACATATAGTGGGACATATAAGTGTGTGAGTGCATCTAAATGCATGCATTTGCCTTTGTAGGCTGCCTTGATTCAACGACATGATTTTCCTGTGTTTTTCCTTACTTTCCCAATTTCAAAATGTCTTTCAAAAATACGAGAATAAAGTACCTTTATTGTACCACTTATACGCTAAAGGGCACAAATGCTTTCCACTGGGACACTACTCTCTGTTCCAGTTATATAATACTAAGGCAAGTTCCTTATCCAGCAGGGTAATTGCTGGGAGTATGTTACATTTTTTTCCTTATGTTATTATTATTAGTAGTAGTAAGCTGCTAATATATTAATATTATACTGTAATATTATAGATAAGGCTTCCCAGCAGTATATAATTACCAGCTATCAAGAGATTTTGTGTCAGCCAAATGTTATTATCACAGTTGCACAAAGAGGTAATAAATGAATGAACTGACTATATCAGTATACATACAGAAGTGATGATATTTTACATGATGTACAGATAACTGCAGATAAGAAAAGTGTGCCTTAAATCTTTCCACGCCCCTGGTATGGCTTTGGCACCAAATGTTTTGAAAGAACCACCCAGAAGAAAGGGGAAACACCTCCACCGAGACAGTCTGTTTAATTAGAACAATAAAATCATTTTACTTCCTGAAATAAAAAAAAACAAAACACATGACTTTGTACAATTGATGGTTCGTTTGAGTTGCCGCTGATTGTAAGACAACATAAAAAGACTCAATCAACACTAATTCAGCACAAATACAGGACAAAAATAAATAACAGACCCAAGACTCTGCTATAACTTCATAGTGATGCTACTAGAATACAATGTATTTATGATATTCTTTAATTTTCATGCAACAGTCTCCATTAGGTCCGGGTATTTTGTAGCCACAGGGCAATGTCGTTACATTGTCACCGATTGGCAATGTTAAAAATGACAACTAAAATGCCATTTGCCCTCTCCATTATTGATAGATTTTGGGGGTTCAGGCCTGCCTAAAAAGTGAATTGAGCCCTCTGAGCTGATACACTTCTGCAACCATTATTTAAATCAAGTCAGAAAGTTCGGTAACGAAAAAGTAAACACCCATGATGCCATAAAGCCGCAATGTAAGTTATTGCAGCACAAGCTGAAGTTAATAATTTGGTTAGCTGTAGCGCTTCTGCAGCAATAGCAGTAACCAGCAGTAATGGAGAAGGGCACTGACGTTGGAACACATGGCTCTGTGGAGGTTACAGTTTGGAAAGTACCTTGTATGTCTTTTTGGAGCTAAAAAGAGGTCATTCATCTGGTTGTGCAACTACTCTATATGGACACATGTACTGGGCCACACCTCTTTTGAATTCAGATGCGCTCAGTCCCATTGCCACAGGTGTATAAAGCAATTCTGACTGCTTTTACGACATTTGTGCAAGAACAGGTCATTGCAAAGATTTACTGAATTTTGTGTGATCAAGTATAAGTCATATCAGTGAAAAGTTACAACTGCAGTGGCGCATAGTGCAGAGTTGCATACCTCCTGTGGCATTAATGTTAGCACAATGTGCACCAAGAAATTCATGGTATTCATAGGTTTCCAAGGATAGGCAGTTCCTGAAAGTGTAATGTGTAGGTGGCCAAGAACTTTTGCTTTCTTGTGTGGCAAAAACTAAAACTAATTAAATTCATCTGACATTAAATATTTAAATATATATTATGTATTTAAAGGAGAACTGATGGTATTTCAGATGAGATACGTGCTCTTTCCTGAGTATGAGAAGACAGGTGTGCCTGAAAGTTTTGGCTCACCTTGTGAAGTACCTTTAGTACAAAATGCTTTAAAAGAACCATCCACAAGAAGTGGAAAACATCTGCAAAGAGTATGTTTGTTTAGATAGCATAATAAAATCCTTTCTGCTTCCTCAAATGAAAAGAAAGGGTGACGTCTGTAAATCACAAGTTAATTGATATGATTGCTAGTTATAATACAACATTAAAAAAAGACAGGACACACTGGAGAGATTATGTCTTATGTCTATGATGTACTGACAAAAGCAAGATGTTGTGGGTGCATGTGCCACCCCACTGAAAGAATCCTGGAAACGTCCCTGTTTCAGACCTCCTTTTCCTTTCCTTCACCAATGGAACGAAGAAGGTGGGAAGATTTGGTAGTTCTTACAGATAACACTGTTTTCTGCTGCAGGTACATTCACTGACATATGGTTTTAAGTTACTTCTGTGTTCCCAGCTATATCACAGCAAACAATAGCCTAGAGGTGGTCAAAAAATATTAGCTACTACACCTTAGAGAGCCTCTCTTTGAAACTTCTTGACACCCCGCAAAAGGTTATGCAATATTTTTAAGTAATTTTGTCTTATTTGGTGTGCACAGTCTATAAGGATTACCCTGCTTGCTCGCTCACTCACTCTGTCTTATAATCTGCTGATGATGACGTTATGCTGCAGTTCCTGGGCTTCAGTTCTCGCGAGGTTACGGGAATCCAGACGCTCGCTCGCTCGCTCGCTCTCTCTCTCTCTCTCTCTCTCTCTCTCAGTTCCCCCTCCTCCCCAGCCCTCCCTTCCCACGCCCCACTGCGCTGTGGGATAGTGGCACTATAAAGTATATCCTCTCTCGGCGAAAGATAAGAAGCCCGAGACAGGAGGGGGATGAAGATGGCGGACGCCAAGCAGAAGCGGAATGAACAGTTAAAGCGATGGCTTGGCTCGGAAACGGACCAGGAGCCTCCTGTTTTGAAAAAGAAAAAGACGAAGGTGAAGTTCGATGATGGCGCCGTGTTTCTGGCCGCCTGTTCGAGCGGCGATACCGAGGAGGTGCTCCGAATGCTTGACCGGGGCGCTGACATCAACTACGCCAATGTAGACGGTCTCACCGCCCTCCACCAGGTTTGTGTTAGCTTGCCGTGTGGGTTTATGTCAGCAGCCGGTACCATTAGACATAAATATCGACTGGCTGCTAGCAAAAGCTTACCCTGGTACACCTGTCAAATGGAAGCCATTCTCATCCCGTTGTTTACCTACCTAGCATACTCGTCCTTCTCGACGCAGAGAAGGGATGAATCCGTTGGCTTCCTCCTGAGGCTGTTTAACTGGTAAACCGCGCTAACTATGCATACACTTGTCTGAGTATAAGTGGCAAGAAGCAGCAGAGTCAAACACCTAATTTACAGGGCTAATTCTACTTTATGCCTCCATAAACTAGCCTGAGTCTGTAGGTGCAGTCTAATTGCAGTACTGCTGCATTTTTCGATTTGAAACATTGGCTTGGTTTTATGTTGTAAATACAATCAAGCCAGACAAGTGTCTGTGTGGTCAATTGATTATTGTCGGATCCTATTTAGTGTGTTTGGAGCTTAATATAAATGGTGTTCGTGCAGAATGAACCCAGCAATAGATGGCTGCTACCTGGTTAGCAGTAAAAGTCGTTTTGTTGATAAACCCTCCTCCTTGACTGTGGCTACTCTCTGGAGAGGAAGCAGAAGCTACCTTGCTAACTAGCTTTAGATACAACGTCATTCAGATACAGGCTAATGTTACGATTGCGAAACAATGTTTGCTTGTCACTCTGACTTAAAAAATGCAGTCCCTCATTAATAGTGGGCATATTAGTTTAATTGCCAGGAAAGAATGAATGGTAACAGCGCAGTATTAGCCCAGCGGAGTGTCTGCTAACGTACTTTAGCATGCTAAGATAAATGTCATTAGCTGTGTGGGGCTTTAGCTGAAGTTAATTCATTCATTAACTGACCTGAGAAACGGCGTCAGTGGTAAATTATGGGCCTCATAATTTTATGCTGTTTTATGTATAGTTAATCGGAAACGCCTGTGTCGTTAGCGCTTTTGCTACACCGGGATGTTAACCGTGCCAAGCTAGTCATTTGCCCGCTAACTGGGGTAGCTACTTTCACTAGCATCTGTACTTCCACAGCCGATAAACTGAAAATGGCACCTCATCTTGATGGGTTTTAGGCGGTGTGAGGTAGTTTCAGTCCAAATGGGGTTTAAAGCCTGATTTAAAAGCTTTATAAACCACCATGGATCCAGTGATGGAAGTAGGTTGCTTGTTGGTGCAGTAAGCTTACTGAAAGTTGTGACCAGGTTAAGTCCAGTGAGGTGTGCAAAAGCTAGACTAGAATTAAAACGTAAATAACAAAGAACCTGGTCGTGTAATTTATGAATTTGTTTCTGTTGCTTCAGAGGTATCTTTTACCATTTAAACAAGTACATTTATTTTAATATCGTTTTTCAGTTTGTGCTTATTGGATCAAGTGATTACGGGTATACTGTTAGTTTTTACAGTGACACTTTTATAAAGATATCTTGCTTATTTTGTACCAAGAACATTGTAGTTAAGTGTTTTACTTTTTGGTGGAAATAAGCAGGGTGAACGGTTTGGGGGATTTCCCCTTTCTGACTGCATGTTTCTGCCTCTGATAAATAATTTTTCATTCCCACTGGAAAATAAACTTTTATCTCCCCCCCCCCCTTCCAGGATTTTTGCAGTGTCTTGAAACAGTCAACAGTGCAAACATCAGTCCAATCAGAAACTGATCTCACTTTCAGTACTTGTGAGGCTGCTGGGGTGAGATGATCAGGATCTGTTCCATTCCAGCTTTTCATTAAGCCAAACTGTAACGCTGGATCTCTGGATCCAGAGAGTTGCAGAAAACATCAGAAATATTGTGTGCCAACCAGTTGCCTCTGTGTTGACATCCAAGTTCTCTCCAAAGGTGATTTGTGCAGCTTCTTCTTTCTTCTTGTTGAGTTGCGGCTCTGCACCAGGACTGTTCTCTGCAACATCCTGCAGTCGTTTGTCGCCTTTTGCGTGATGGCGCAACTGCTGTGATAGGCTGATGGAGAGGGGCAGAAGTATTTGGTTTAAAAAGATCAACCTTAACCTGACCTTCGTTCACAAGTTAGAACATGCTGTCGAACATATTACAGAGTCAGATAATTTCCACATGTTTATTAACACTCAAACTGGAAAGTCTGCTGCTGATCTCAGACAATGAAGTCTCCTTCTTCCCTTTACAGAGACTTTATAGATTCAGGTAAAAGAGGGTGATGTGTTTTACATGATGAGCCACAGGGAAGCAGAAAAACTGTCATCAAAGCAGACCATTTCTCTTTGATTTGTAATGTACCATAGTGGAGTTTTTATTTATCCAATTTATTTTTTTTAATTGACAGCATTTTGTGCTGTTTACATTTCGGGTTATTTCATATTAAACATTGAAGCTAACATCCTCTGAAGAGGGAAACTGTGGTTGCCCCTCTATATTTTTTTTATTTATTTATTTTTCTCTCCCTACGTATTGCATCCTGGAGTATTTTAATTTGAAGAAATAAAGGATAATGCTAGTGGAAACGAGCATTTGTTTATCTTGTTTGCACTAGCGTGGATAGTGTTTACATGATGTAAGGATTTACAAAAATATTCACATTAAATGTTTTATACTTGCATAGATCTCCTGTGATGTCACTTCATTACTCATGTCCACATGTCTCGTCTTAGTAATTATGAGCACTGCTTTATGCACCACCTTGCTCCCATGGTGTGTTTGTTCTCCAAGACTTAGGCCACTGCACAGATTAAAAGTTTTAAAAGCAGGTTTTAAGGCATGGGTCATCAGCTTTATCTGTATGTGATGTGATTCATGCACGTTTTTGGGTTGTTTTTTTTTTTGTTTTTGTTTTTTTACATTAATTAATCCTGCTGGTAAATTGACCTTTCTTCAAGATCGTAGTCTGCTTTAATGAAATCTGGAATTAGCATGAACCCCTCAATGCAAACTCATTGGGTGGAAATGTTGCCTTTTTTTGGGCTGATGTCCAGAGATGAACTTGAGTGAGGAAAGAATTTGAAGTGCGGCTCTCCGGACATAACCATCTCTGGAGACGAGGGGCTTCTCTCTCTCTCTCT